CTTCCCAAATTAAAGATTCTAAAAAAGAGATGAATAATTATATTGTTTACGAAACAAAATTCAATACCTTTAGGGTATGGCGCTTGATTGGCAGTAGAGGCCTAACATATAACCCTTGACTAATCTATGTCAAACCCTTGACCTTTAAGACTCATCAACCAATTGTAACTCATATAAATAACCCCGAAAATACTTGCGGTCCAGAATTTCTAGAAAGTGTTTAAACTCCATTATTAGTAACATTAAATTTTATATCATGTGAAATATTTCTGGCCTTTTAATTAAACTAACTAGTTCATGATTTCTTAATACATACTTAAAACCAAGATTCAAAACTTGTTTGAAAGTTTTCTTATTTCATTATTGTATATTAATTTAATATTTTTACAATCAAGGGTTACAAATCAATCAAAGGAAAATTTATGATTCTAGATCAATTTTAAACTTGTTGACCTATTCTACAATAGTCGTTTGAACATGACTTGTTTCACCTCTTGATGGTAAAATCTGTTAAGATGTTGAACTTAGATTCGATACGACATAATTAATAAATGAAATGGGTATGAGTGAAATAAATAAATAAAAATGCACGATATGATTTATTTATATATCGGTTATATATGATTTATACACAACATCGAATCCAATATGACAAGATTCACTCGATTCAACATAATTAACTAACTAGCATTTATTTTTTTATTAACCTCGGTATAAATAAAAGCATTGTGCACTTGCTTTGGAATTTGGACACATTTTTATTTTTTTGAAACTAGACAAGTAGAAATCGTATTAGTTTAAAAAATTTGTTTTTGTAAAAAAACAAATCTTAAACATAAAAAGTAATTTTTGAAATGTCTTACTTAAAACATTGTCGAATTAAAGAAAATTATTTTATCATTTAAATAAGTGTAATAAACAAGACTAAAACGATAAAACTTCTACTTCAACAAAAAACACTTCTCATTTTTTACATCTACCACCACTACTGATGTTAGTACCACCACAGGCAACCACCATCACCCTTAGACCATGCCACCGCTCTCTCACCGTCATTATTGCTATCAGTACTTGATGGATGAAACTATTTTTCTTTATAAATAGTTCATTTACAAAGTATTTATAATTTTTCAATTTTTTTTGAGTTATTCAAAAATATTTCTTAAGTTAACCCCGTTAGTTAGTTCAGGTAGAAACAGACAAGAGCTGTAAATTCAGATGTTCTGAGTTTGAATTTTGACAATCTTTTTGGGTCAAGTAATGAGAAATTTATCTATCATGAATACCCTAGTCTCGGTATGAGTAACTTATTTTGATCAGATCGGAGAGAAGATTAATCAAAATGCACATAAGTTGATCCGAACATTCCTAACTGTTGAACCGAGGAAAGCGTTTCCCAAGTCAAACCATATTTTTGAATGGAGCTGTGAATTCTAAGAACCCCCAAATTTTCCTTTCAGTGAGCATCTACTTTCTATTCAATTTCAACAGCGTGTTATTTACTGTCATTTGAATGTGGTGTAAGCAATTTGTGACCTATCGAAACGAATAACTTGGAAGCATTGGCATTTCAGTTGATGTATGTACGGTTTCAATTTCAACTAAACAAGCTTGAGAAAGTCCTTTCTAGAACAAGTCAACAAATTCATTGTCAATGGATTGTATAATATTTTGGAAAAATAATAAACATATAGAACAAGTGAAACTCACTAATTCTACGTAGAATTTTTGAATATGAAAATTAGCGATGATTATATAATTTGGTGGGATCCACTAGTGATACATGATTATTTATTATTAATTAATTACACCAAGTGACGATGGTGGCGTAGTTTAAAGGTTATATTAAATGTTTTCTCCTTTGATAAATAATCCTTAGACTAAAATCCATTCTGGGCTCTAAACAAAGGATGCAAGTGGGCTGTATAGGACAAAAAGTGATTATACCTTGGTCCAGTAGAAATGGCTTCTCTTTGATCGAATGAAACTTGAATGCAGATTAAGCGATGTACGCATAAATTGGCCTGAATATTTTTTAGTGTTAAACCAAAAAAAAAAAAGAAAAAAATAGAAGATTATACTATCTAAGGCGGCCAAGGGTAATCTTCCCCCCAAAACTTTAAAAATCTCTTTTTGTTAGAAATTTCTCTATTTTTTTCATGCAAATAAGTTTCTCTAATCACCATTTGCAATTAATTTGCCAATGGTACAGAATGATACCATCTTTCAATATGAATTCATAGCAGAAAGAAAAAATACCTCCTCAGAGAAGAAGACATAAGAAAAGATTGCCCACTTGACTTTTTACTTGATACCATCCTAAGATAAGAATGGTTAACTACACTACGTATGATTAGGGGTGTTAAAATGAAATGTCTCGCTAGTACGGTATAAAATTAGAGAATTTATATTTTCTTTAAAACATATATTTCATAAAACAAGTAGACTCGATATGACATGATACGATTAATAAATAAATTAGCTATTGGTTAAACCAATCAAATATATATATATATATGACGCCACTCACCTTCTACGACTTGTCTCGTACCTTGGCCAACTCCAAGATTAATAGAAACAAGCCCTACAGCCAATCCAATTGCAATAACGAAAGCAACGAAAATCAATGAATTCATTATAAGTTTCTCATATAAAAAAAAAAAAAAACAAAAACAAAAGAATTGGTTAATGATATAATTAACCAATGAATTATGACTTAATTTCATTATTCAATTACTAAGATTCATCTAATCGAAGTAACTAATAACTTCTAATTGTAATAAAATAATAATAATATTAATTCATATACGACACAAATTTGATATGATACGACATAAATTAATAAACAAATCTAATATTTGTGGAGTGTCTTTTAACAAGAACTTTCTAAGACCCGACATGATCTTACCTCACCTGTCACGATTGGCAAGCCTACATAATAAGATAATTGAGGATGGACATAATGGTGAGTGCCTTTTCCACCTTAGCCCAAACGCAAGGTTTGAATTTCATTTTTCCCGTCTCTCGTGTATATTGCAATTTTACCAAAAGAAAAAAACTACGCTACATACAATTGGTTCATTAATAAGACAATTGAAATATTATATTTTAATTGGATTTGAATTTCTTTCGATACACTTTTATTTAATTTTTTTATAACAACAAAATTGTATATTACAAAGTGAAATAAGAATTAATATATATGTTTTGGAAAGTTGGAATAAAATACATAAGGAGGAACCTCTTTGATGTTGATGCCGGCAGCAGGCACAGATGGTCTCACTAGGGAACGGAAAAAAGGGGCCGGTTAGAAATTGACAAGGACCGGAGTCACAACGGCAGGCTCCAACGCGGAAAAAGATGGGCCCCACGGGCCACTGAAAGTTAGAAGAAGACAGTACGTTGCTTTCTCATGTGGGGCCAGTGTCTAGAATGAAGGACCTCATCAGCCTCCAAGCCTACGGTTGGGCCATGGACTGTTGAACCATAAGATCAGCCAGCACTTGGAGCCCAAGCCTACGGTTATTCTATTTTATTTTTATTCAATTTTATTCGATCGTAAATTAATATTAGATAAGTATAAGACCCACTTATAAAAAATAATCCCACTTGAATCTACGATAATTAATTTATTATTCAGTGATTGAGTAAAAATATAATAAAGAGAATTTGAACCCAAAAAAACTCCAAAAACAATTATCCAATAGTTCCTTGGCCTAAAGACCCAAAAAAAAAAAAAACTTAACCGCGGAAACAACTCTCTGACCACCCTTATTGATGTAATATTGATAAATTGTTATAAAAATTATTTTTGATTTAGGTTTTTACTAAGTTATGGAGCAAGTAAGTTTTCAATTTATAGGCACTTATATATGTGTGCTGAATTTAGTTGAGAAAAACATGATTCTATTTCTATGATATTTAGTTTACGATTTTACATGAAAAGCACATAACCCTAACACACCAAAATGAAACCTAACACACCAAAATGAAACAAAATTTGGTCGGATTTACTAGTCTTACATGCCAATATATAGAATAAGGCTATAGGGACCTAATTTATTGGCCAAATTAGGGATCTAATTTAATACAGTTATAAATTTAATTGTGAATTTCAAAGTTTGATGAATACCACTTTTTCTCCGATAGCTACATTGAATTAGATCTTCAAATTAAATTCCAAATTTAGGTCTAAATAGAATTTTTTTTTCCTAATGGATAATTGGTTATTGATCACATTTGTCGAGTTACCGTGACTTATCGTATCAAAGGACAGAACTTACATTGACCTTTTATCTAATAAATGTATCATTTAAAAAAGTCAGGGTTTGTTGCACGTATTAGCTTTAGAATTACTACGGCTATTCGAATAACATATATCATCAAACAAACTATAATAAATTTAATGAGTCATTCTCAATTTCATAATCTGAATTAGTTCATATTTAAATATGTATGGCTTAATCTTTGAGACATACTAACAGTAGTATCAACCATATAATATTTCTCTTTAACGTTGGCACAGCATAAATCTGATCGAAAGAATAAATTGGCCAAAATAAACTAATTTGATGACCTAATTCAATTTAAATTTTGAATTAATTGTGAATTATAATATTAAATAAAATTCACTTAATCTAACCACTATATAAAAACAGGGTCTTCAGATTAGGTACTAATATTCTTTACTTCCCTACTATATTCTTAATTGGTTATTGATTACATTACATGACATTTAATATATATTTTTTTCTCGTATTGGCACCATGCCACGTGCCTCTGTGAGGTTGCGAAGCTCTAAATGCGGGCCTGTTCTTTATACAAAAATTTCTCCTGTTCTTTTGTCTCACTGTGCTTCTAGAAGTCCAAAGGAAAAAGCAGTACCCTCCTCCATCACGAAGAATTAGTCGTCTCTCTCTCTCTCTCTCTCTCCAAGGTCTTTATATATACACCTCTAACCCTTTGGTCTCCCTCAATCAAACTCGCAATTCCATTCACAAACTGATCTTCCATTAGTACATTTGACCCATCTCCTTCTTCAAACATAAACTGTCCTTATACTATTTTCGTGCATGATGGATTCAAAAGAGTTCTACCAAGAATCTGGAGACGAACAAGAACACCAATTTACTCAAGACCCAGATGAAGCAGAGGAAACACTCTCTTTCTGTGATCTCCCAATCTGTAGCAGTGAAGCCGATTGGGAATATAATTTATCTAAAGAAGATCATCACAGTTCAAGCTCTTCATCTTCCGAGCAAGACTATTTCGAGTTCTTCAGTCAAGAATGGAGTACCACCACAAGCTCTCATCACCGCCCCGAAAACATCATCTTCTGTGGAAAACTCATTCCTTCCAAAACACCCATTTCCGACGACGGTCTTGAGATAGAAAGCAACAAACAATCAAACCAAAGAAAGAAAAGCCTTTTCCGGTGTAATTCCGACTCGTTTTCTCGACCCAAAAGTACTTCTACATCGAACAAAGCTCGACTGGTGAAGAAGAACGATCCAAACTCCTTGTCATTGCCGGAGAAAATCAGGTATTCCAGCGACCATTCCGGAAAGTGCGGTGACAAGTATGATTTTTCAGTCGGAAAGGTTTCAATTTTGACATCGCCGGCAAAGCTGTCTAGGAGTAGAAGGTACCTTTTCATGTTGGGATTGGGTAGATTTCCGATTGAAATGGAATTGAATGATATAAAGAACAGGCAGAATCGACGGTGTCGGTCAATGTTGCCTCAATCGGCCGGTGGCAACGAGAAGCTGACTAATGGTAGAGGCAGGTGGAAGGGTCTGTGGGGACTACTTAGGATTTTGGGTTGTGGTAGCAACCTCCCCGCAAACAACACCGTAGTAAAAGCATCTTTTGGTAGTGTTCCCTACGAATGAAGCAGATTACGAGATTCAACCCTTTTTTCGCTTTGATTTATTACTCTGACTAGAATTCCAATACATCAAGCATACGTGAAAAAAAAATAATATATATATATATATATATATATATATATATATATATGGTCGTAAAATCTTTCTTATGAAGTAGAAAGAGGTTGACGAAGCACAAATGAGTTGGTTGATATATACCAGAGGAGTTTGCATAATCTGGTGAGTGATGAGAATTTATGGCTTCATTAGAAGCATATATGCTCAATGTACTTGGTAGTCAGATTAATGAAGACTTAATCAGGTTGAAACATGGTTAGAATTATTTGTGTTTTTAATAGTCTTTTTCTTTTCTTTTTTCTCCTTCTTTTTGGTTATAATAATAGGGGTACCTAAGAGTACTGTTAATCAATTAGCTCTCCTGATCTAGTGGCGAGAACCTTGTACATTAATTACAGTAGCTTTTTGACGATTATTTGAAGAGCAAGAGGTGTAAGCTAGGTAATTGAAATTTGAAAAATCTTGTTACTATATGTTTTTGAATTCACCAAAGTACGACCCTCAAGTGGTACCACCCCGACCTTCCTTTACGACCAGAAAGGTCAGGGGATAAGCCCTTGTTGGGACTGAACAAGGATTTTGAATATTGTAAGACCCCTATATGATATAGAGACAGCAAATAAGTAAAAAAACAAAAAAAAAAACCTAAGATTATTAAATTCCACAAGACAGTTACAGCAACCAAATTAGGTCTTGGAAAATTTCATGTCAACTAGCTGCGATTCAGGCCATTGTGAATAAGAAGCATGAGAAATTCTGTCTTGCTTCTGAATGAATATTAAAAAAAAGTCCTAAAAGAATAATGTTGGCTAATATTTAAATTGCATCACTTTATTATTTAATTTTTTTGTTTGTTCAACGGTTAGAGTTACCTAAACCAGCTTACGTGTACTTTAATTAATTATCTTTTTAATCTGGTTAAAAACAAACCATCCACGTCGGAACTAAAGTACCCATGAAAGAAAAATCTCTCATAACTTGATCCCAAGAAATTATCAAAATTTAAATTCAGAACCTCTGAATTTATAACTACAATTTTAATTTAATCTACCCTTTGATGTTATTATTCAAAGTTTTCAATTGTTTGATTCAATGACCCTATTGAAAATGACGTTATAAAATTTGGTAACAGCAGTAGACAAGTCTAACCACGAGATACACACATGACTAGTTCTACTAGTAATTTTGAAACTGTCAATTTTAATTGGCCCATTTTGAAATAAGTTGAAAATTTTTAAGGTTAAAGTGAAGATAATAAAAAGAACAAAACAAAAAAAATAAGATGGAACGCATAACTTCGACACTATACCAAATGTTTTATCTTAAATGATGTGTCAAAAATCTCATGTATTGAATATTAAATGGAAGCTAATAGACTCCAGCAATACAATCACTTACGCTGATTTAAAATATAAAATTTAGTAAATAATTTAATAAGTATATCATTACCCTAAAAAATAATGTTGTTTTATGCAATGGACATCTTTGCTTTGATTTAAGTCTATGGAGTAGCCCAACGGTTAAATGGAGATTGAGATGTAATGTAAATTCAGATATTCTAAGTTTGAAATTTGACAACTCTCTTGAAACAGGTCATTAGAGATTTATCTCTCATAAATTTTAGTTCCGACAAGGATTACTTGATTTTAATCAGATCGAGAGGATATTGATTAAGGTACGTGTAAACTGGTTGCACACCCGTAACCGGTATAAAAAAAGAAAAAAATCTTTGCTTTAATTCTTTGTTGTGATCTCCATTATTTCAATATTAACAGCCAACTTCTTTGATCCTAATGAGCATTACTACTTGAACCTAAAATATTGACTTGATTTATTAATCTAATAATTAACGTCATTGATTTAATTGTGGATAAAACTATTTATCAATTACAGTAATTTTTTAATTCTGGAGAATTTTTGTATTGGTTACAGTAATTTTTTGATGATTCTTTGAAGAGCTAGAGCTCTAAATTATATGCAACTCCAAAGTAATGAAGCTGCGCATCGATTCTTGAAATTAAGAGTGTGCTTACTTAGGGTCCGTTTGATAATTATTTGTTTATTCAATTTCTGACCAAAAAATAAAAAATAACATGTTTGTTGGTTATTTTCATTTTTTTTTCATCAAAGTTGTTTTGAAAACAAGCCCTAAATTTGTTATCTTTTTACTTCAAACTATCACATTATCTATACGTACTCCATTAGTTACTAAACTCACCCGTTTATATTCATTAATTAAAAATTAAATTTAATCAATTTTATTTCAACTCAATATATAGGCAATGATTAAAATTTTGTTTCAGCGAATTTTTTTGGTACGAAAATATTTCAGAAGCAGAATACAAATTAATACAAAATTAATAATTATTTTTAAATATTAATAAAAATATATCAAAAATAACTTAAAATACTTCAAAACATTCCAAACACAAGTGTGAATATATATTAAAATATTTTAAAATACTTCAAAATATTATAGATCAACTTGAAACAATGAAATTTCACATCAATTACTATTTTTGTTTTGATTTTCTTGCACATACATTTAATAGTATAATTGAATAGGTACCAATGAGTGAACTTAGTAACTAATGAAATGGATATAAATGTACTGAATTTAATAGTTTGAAATAAAAAAATTAACTAACCTTTGGTTAATTGGAAATTGAAAAATCACAAGAATTTTTTGAGTTAGGGGCTAATCAAAGTAGTCTCCACCAGACCTTTCTCGTATTAAGAACCGACTCTTAGGAGTAAATATTGAATGTAACGGTGATACCATGTCACCAATGATAATATAATATCACGAACCAATAATAAAACTCCAAATAGGAAAGGTGAACCCCACTTAGACTTATATGGTAGAAGAGTGGAGAGTTATTTACTTATATGGCAGAAGAGTAGAGAGTTATTTGCTTACATGAGAGGTTAATTATTGATTTTTGTAGGGTCTATCTACTTATTTATTTTATTATTATTGACTGGTGATACCATATTACATTGTCACGTGGTATCACCGTTGTAATGGATATTTTCTCGACTCTCAGAGGATTTTCAGAATTGTGGGACACCGAGATGGGGTGGTGACACAAATAAAAAAGTAAAAAAAATAAAATTATTTTAACTTAATTTATTTATTTAATAAATTATAACTCTTGAATTGAAAACGAGTGTCAACTAATAATAGAACTTAATGTCCTTATGTCACCAAATTAAATCCTATAACATTGCTCAAAACAAAACTTTGAAGCTTATTTTAGCTTGCTTTTTAAATGACAAAAAGTCACGGAAGATTTTTATTTTTATTTTTTTTAACTGTTACAAGAGAGGAGATACCGAGATTCAAATTCACGACCTAATAATCAAACGGTAACTGCAATGAAATTAAGTCTACCACTGATCCTCAATCATGTAAGATTAATGAGGGAACCATTTTAAAATATTTTATTCCTTAAAATTTTCAATTTAATTCAATGACCAATTGAAAATAATATTTTAAAATTGGTTTACAGAAGTAGACTTGTCTTATCACAAGATATGACTAGTTCTGGCAATTTTGAACTGTCAATTTTTTTTCTTAAACAGGAAAATCTCATGGTCTGTTTTTAGCGAATAGAGATGTACTTACATCCCTCAAACTAATAACTCTTAATAGAATCAAGAGTAAAGTTCAGAGTATGAACTAGTCTCTTAACTCATACACCATTTAAATTAAGACTTACGTTTCACCGAATACTCAAAACTCACACTAGAGACTTGGATACGGTTCATCCAAGTAACTGAGGTCTTGTCCTACCAAACAGCCATGCTATTGCGCCTAGGGAAATTCGAACCCCAGACCTCCCACTGGGAAGCCAGAGGCTTTGGCCAACTGAGCTACCCCAATTGGTTTTGAACTGTCAATTTTGATTGGACCATTTTTTAACGTTTAAGTGAGAATGAAATAAAAATAAGACGAAACACTTGATCAATCGTATTGTATGGTATCATTTTTGATTTATGTCATATTCATGTCAATATTTGTATAAATAAAAAAATATTTAATTCTATAATAACTCATATATTACTATTTAAAAAATTAAAAAACTATGTATTTTCTGTCTACAGTATTCGTTAAATACTTATTTTCTATTTATAATACTCATTAATTGTATTATCGTATTTAACTTTAATTTGACTCATTTATAATTTGTGTTAATTACATTTTCAAATTTTATGTCGGACCGAATTCGTATTAATGGTTAGAATTGATACCCCCAGGAACACAAAACTTGGAGACTATGCTGCTACTAAAATATATATGAGGGCGGTTATGAGAAATATGGGGGGAGATGCCCTTCCATAAATTTTTTCTACATTCTCTTAGCGGATTACCTATTATGTATTCAATTGGAACTCAAATTATGTAAGTGAGTCCCTGGTTTAATAATAATAGATGATCCGGCAAATAAAAAATTTAAAAAAATATATTAAAAAGAATCTAAATCCACAAAATAATATGGGTTTATGTAATAGTCATCTTTGCTTTTAATTCTAGCTTGTGAGTGTCTTGTATATATTAATAGCGAACTTCTTTGATTCTAATTTTCCCATTATTATAGGACTAATAATTGAGCCGAGTTATACGATTTCGGCTCGTAGAGGACTTAGTTTTATACGAGTCGACCTCAAACATTTTTTTAGGCTCAATTGATTCTAATTTCCCCATTATTATAGGACTGATAATTGAATCGAATTACTCGAACTCGACTCGTAGAGGACTTGATTCTATACGAGTTGAGCTCAAATAATTTTTTAGGCTTGTTTAGAAAACGAGTCTGAAAACACTCAGCTCAAACTCGCAAAACTCGGTTCAGTTATATGTAAAATAGTCGAATTACTCGAGGTCAACTCGTTCTGAGGTCAGCTCGAACTTGGTTTATTTTATAAATAAGAAAAGTTTGAAC